GATACAATCAATGGTTTCTACAGACAGTAGCTTACAAGTTTTAACAGAAGACCCAAGAGATTTTTGTACTTGGTGAAACTGTTGGATTTTAAAGTGTGGGGGCCAAATTATGAGGGGGTCACTGTCACTTGGGGGAATCACTGTTAGTACCTTCTTTAATATCCCTACAAGACTTCCGGAGGGTAAATGCGATCTCAAAGTTCGACGTGTACGCAATGCCCAGGATCGATGAGCTTCTCGACACTTGACCTTATGAAAAGGTGCTGGCAGATCCCCTTGGACCTGAGCTCCAGGGAGAAGACTGTGTATGCCACTCCGACCGGGCTATATCATTTCACCCAGATGTTCTCCAGCGTCCATGGACCCCTGGCGACCTTCCAGCCCCTGACGGACCGCCTCCTGAACCCCCACATGGAGTACACTGTGGCCTGCTTGGACGATGACGCCTCTGGGAAGATCATTTAAATCAGGTGGCCGCCATCTTTCAGACCCCACGGCACGTCGGACTCACTGCCAACCCAGAAACATGCCGGATTGGATGGCAAAGACTCCGTACCTGGGATAGACGCTCGGCCCAGGGCTGGTATGCTACCAGGTGCTATCGACGGTTTGTGCCCCTCACGCCTCACGGCACTCCCTGACCAAGAACAGCCTCCACCGGGTGCGTTGGTTGGCCGAGTGTGAAGACACCTTCCAAACCCTCAAGGAAAGCCTGTGTCAGGACCCCGTGTTGTTCACACCTGACTTCAACCGCGAGTGTCTGGTCCAAACAGTCGCTTCAGAGGTGGGGCTTGAGGCAGTCCTTTCCCAGGAGATGGATGGACAAGTGATTCCTATCCTCTACCTCAGCTGAAAGCTTTTCTCCCAGGAATACAAGTACTCGGTCATAGAGAAGGAGGTCCTCATTGGCAAGTGGGCCATCGATGTGCTCCGATATTATCTTCTTGGGGTCCCCTTTGTGCTGATCATCGACCACGCCCCCCTCAGGTGACTAACCCCCACGAAGAACTCCAACACCAGGCTAATGCGGGGGTACCTCACCCTCCAGCAATGTGCCTGTACAGTCAGACACCGGGCAGGTGAGGAGAATGCCACTGCCGACTTCTTATCTCACCTAGGGGGGGAGCCAAGAGGCCAGCTCCGAAGACGGGGAGCTGGACTTGAGGAGGGGTGTGTGAGAGGCAGAGTGGCCTCCCCCTGAACCAGAGGGGGAGGAGCCACCTGCTAAACCAGGGTGGGCGGAGCCAGAGCGGGCATGCCCCGCCCACCCGAAGTCGAGGGATGGACGGGACGTATAAAGGCTGAACCCTCCAGCTCAGTTGGGAGACAGTGGCCGGAGGAGACAGACGCCTCCCACCTGCTCCCGGGGGTAGAGCCTGAGGAGAACCCTGGCTGTGCTGAAGACTGGCCAGTGCCGCGGCTGTCGCCGCCTGACCTGGACCCTGCGGAGTTGCTGGGGCCACCACTGCACCCCTACCCGGGGAGTCAGAGGACACCCATGGGCCGAGGCACACCCCGAGGGGAAGCTAGGAAGTGGCCCAGGGACAGGCGACTCCAGTCCGGTGGTCGGCACGTTGCAGCCAGACCCCTGCGGATGCAGTGGCAGGACGCCCCGGCACTGTTAAGGCCCTGGGCTGGGACGTGGTGGAGTTGGGTGGGTCTGTGATCCCCCACGCCAGGGTGGCAGCCTCCCCACTTAGGCCAAGAAGCCTGCGTTTGTCTGCCGTCTACCTGAGCCAAGTCGTCAGGCAATAGACTGCCTACTGCTCTCCCCACCACAGAGGCCAGAGACGCACCCCGGCCGGAGCCCCGAGGCTGCAGACCAGAGCCCCCTATTTGCTCTGCCTAAGGGCCAGGGCTCACAGACAGCTCGTTTGGTCTGCCCCGCCTGAGGGCTAGAGCCTTAGACCATTAACCCCACGGCTAATTCCCCGGCTGTGGGCGGAGCCCCCTGACGTCGTGAGGTGGGGTGGCCTCCCGCTGACCCCGAGGGGGAGGAGCCACTGCTAACCCCCTACACTGAGCAGGGAGGTAGGTGGGGATGGGGCACAGAGGGTGGATGCTCTGCTGGGCACTGCCAGCCACAAAGCAACCAGCCCCTTCCCTCGTAACAGAGTCAGCCTGTGGAACTCACTGTCACTGGATGACGCCATGGCCAGAAACTTAATGAGATTCACTGAGGGATCGGCCGTTTCTGTAGGCCACACGACTATCCAGAGCTAGAAGAGTTCGCTCCGACGATGGTGGGGGATATTGACCCTCCTGCCACAGGGCTGCCTCCATCTAAAAGGGTGTCATAAGGAGGAGGGAGAAAACTTGTTCACCTTAGCCTCTAAGGATAGAACCAGAAGCAATGGGTTTAAACTGCAGCAAGGGAGGTCTAGGTTGGACATTAGGAAAAAGTTCCTAACTGTCAGGGTGGTTAAACACTGGAACAAATTGCCTAGGGAGGTTGTGGAATCTCCGTCTCTGGAGATATTTAAGAGTAGGCTAGATAAATGTCTATCAGGGATGGTCTAGACAGTATTTGGTCCTGCCATGCGGGCAGGGGACTGGACTCGATGACCTCTTGAGGTCCCTTCCAGTCCTAGAATCTATGAATCTATGAATCTCTGTAATTCCCATAGGGCTGTTCCCCCACCCCCAGGCCCTGCCATTCACCCCTCCTTACCCCAGACGAGCACGGGCTCCCCCAGGCTGCTGTGTTTCACTCGGCAGGCGTAGCGGTGCCTGTCCTGCTGCGGGGAGATCTCCAGGGACGACTGAGTGTAGTAGGTGCCATCGGTGTTGGGCAGGATCCCGCTGGAGTCCGTCTCCACCAGGATGTCTTCTCCGTCCCGCACCCAGGAGACATGGATGGGACGCGGGTAAAAGCCCCTGGCGCGGCAGGAGAGGGTGACGGAGCTGTCGGAGGCGTCTCTGCGGGAAACCGAGACCTCAGGGGGCACTGGGGGGGAGACAGTGTGTGAGTCTCATGCCAGGAACTGGGACCATGTAACAGACAGGCGAAAAGGTCCAGCACCGTATCAACTACTCACGTGTGTGTGAGACCCGGTCTGCATCTGTTTACACTGATTTGTAAATGGAGCCTGTTAATCTGGTGTAAATCCCTTCTGGAGCCTTACTGCAGATTTCCAAACGCTCCTCGGTGCCTGACCCCGGTGATTTCATGGGGAGTCAGGCGCCTCTGTTCAGAAATCCCAGCTGGCCCGTCTGCACTGTCAGGCGCTTAAACCCCTTTGTCACACGGCCCTGAGTCCCTGTCCATGTCTCTGCCCTTGACTGCGGAGGTGCCAGCGCTGGGCAGAACCCCCTCAAAACAAGTTTTTTCTTTGTATAGCGACAACATGCATCCCCTGCCCCCCTCAGCCCCGCCTCCTTCACACTCACAAACGTGGCGTTTTGCAGCTCAAACATGCCAAAAAAAAAAAAAAAATACAACTCCCAGCCCAGAGCTGGGATGTTTCAGACCAAAAGGGAAGTTTGAGGCAGCTGACAGGAAAGGCCCTGCAGAACGGAGACGCCCAGGCAGCCAGAACCGACTAATAACCACCCATAGCTCTCATCGGTCAATCTCAAAGGGCTTTACAAAGGAGGTTGGTGTCATTATCCCCATTGCATATGTGGGGAAACTGAGGCACAGACCAGGAGGGTGACTAGGCCAAGGCCACCCAGCAGAGCAGTAGCACAGCTGGGACTAGAACCCAGGTGTCTTGAGTCCCAGCCCAGTGTGCTATCCACTAGGCTACACTGCCCCTTCTGGACATACCCAACTCCCACTGGTGTCCCTGTGCCCCGTCACCCACGCCCCATGACAGATCCTCACTGCTCACTCACCCTGCTGCTCCAGGACCCCCATTGCCCGCTGCACCAGGCGCCGCAGGGTCTTCAGACACTCATACTGCAGGTACCTCTGGACATACTGAGTCCAAGTCTTGACTGTCTCCCAGCGCTGCTTCTGGAGGAAGGCCGGCTGCACGGCTGCGACCCACGTCCCCGTCTGGTTGTCAAAGCTGATGAAGTCCCTCCCGTCGAAGGCGAACTGGAACCTCGGGTCCACGGGGGCCTGGTTGCTCAGGGCACAACCCACGTGAGCCTGTGCAGTGTGAATCCCTGCGGGGGAGAGAGAGCTCAGACCTGCACTGAGAGCTGGGAAATGTGTCTATAGGGCCGGTGGGTCAGAGGGGAGCTCGGCTGGTCAGTGACACTGGTGCTTTACCGTCTCTGACCTTACAGCTGGCCTTATGCTGAGCTAGCGAACAATCCCAGAGGACGCTGAGAAGCAGGAGGGGTCAGAGCAGACCCACGGCAAGGACGGAGGGGTTGGAGCCCTGCCAGACAGTTACTGAGCTCCTGGAGTCTCTCCAGCGGTGAACATCCCATACTGGGCGAGACCAAGGTCTGACAGCGGCCAACACCAGAGATTCAGGGGGCGTGCATGTGACGAACTGGGACTGTTCTTGCTGGGGTGTGGGAATGCTGACAGGGGAGTGTGACTAGGATGGTCTGCATCGGGGGATGGGAGCCGGCCCAAGGGAACATACCTGAGCTTGTAACATGAGAACCCAGGAGGGGGTTGGAGGTCAGGTGACTCCGGGGCCCGGGAAACCGAAAAGGCT